GTTAAAAAAGAAAGAAAGTTTGAGAAAGCATGACAGAGAGATACAAGAAGGGAAGAAAAAAGAGGGAACAATAACACTGTATTCTCGAAGGCTTTCACGGCCGGGATCTGATGGTTGTTGTGGATTTTTCGGGCTCTTTGGCCATGTTCTGAAGGTTGTTCTTCCTGCTGTTTCACCAGTCTCTGTGGCCGGCATCTTCGGAGGAACAGGAGTACAGAGCATGGACAGAGTACCTACTCCTGTTCCTCTGAAGATGTCGACCACAGAGACTGGCGAAACATCAGGAAGAACAAACTTCAGAACACGGCCAAAGAGCCCAAAAAACCCACAACAACCAATAATGATGAATATAAAAACTAATCATGATATTGAATAAATGTTGCTGATTCAGCAGATATTTGTTGCTTCATATTCTTGGAGGACAGAGACCCTGATGAATACGAAGAAACAAATACAATCCTTTTATATTCGTCCCTTCATCTATCAGGCTTCTCCCATCTTCCTGTGCCTGGACAGGCAGAGGAAGAGGAGGGAAGGGGGACCCAAGCAATTGGGGGCTTTTTAAAAAAAAGATAACCCCATGGGCTGTCTAAAAAGAAATGACCCAACGAACCAACAAATTGATTCGTGGTTTGTCGGGCCACTGGGGGACAATTTGTAGTTCCTGAGCCCTCAAGTTTGATGACCCATGAACCAAGACGAAGAGCCATTTTGGCACTTCGTCCCCATTTCTAATCACGACTTAGACAGTTGAGGCTGCCTGGAAGCTGTCATCTTTAAAGATAGCTTTTCCAAGTTCCATGTCTCTGAAATAAAGTCTGGCACTTGGAAAGCAGGACCAGTCCTCCTTGCAAGCAGAGTAAGGTGGGTGCTTCAGGTGGCAGAAACTGTGGGGGCAGCAGCAACAGCCCCCAACTGTTATTCCTCATTGTCTAGGAGCTTTTTCACTCATGAGGAACCACAGAGGCTGTCATCATTCATGAAAATGCTCCGCTGCCCCAGATATGATGAAGGATTCATTCGTTTGTTCGCTCATTCGTTTGTTAGTTTGTTCATTCGTTCCTCTTTTATACTGCTCAGTTAGCTTGGAGTGCTACTCTGGGTAGTTGACAACAAATAAATCAAATGCAATAATAACACGAAAAGAGTAAATAATAATCAAAGAATGCAAACAGAACTATCAATAAAACAGCAGAAAGTAAACACGCCAAGGGCAACAAAAATAGTCAGCTGAGAAGACAAATTTGGAAAGTCCTTAAGCAGTGATCCCCAACCTGTACCCCCAAAGATACAAACCAGGACATTTAGGGGCATGTGGGGAGAAAAGGAATAAAGCACATACGTCAACAGTGGAAGCCAAGATACAAGTAAAATTGTGAAATTAATTGAATGTTATGATAAGTTGGACGTTAGGTTTTCTTTGCTATTTAACCTCAAGAAAAAGCTCTGTTCCCTTGCTTTATTTGTGTGTGTGTGTTTTGGCAAATGGTGGGGAGCCCCTTCCTAAACAATATGTTGCAAACACACCACTATGTCACACATGGTTGATGGTACGTCACCCACAGACTCAGCTTTGACTCTCCCCTGCTTCACGAACATTCAAGTGTTGTAAATTCAAGTTCTGAACTGGTGTATATATAAGTAAACATCTCCGTTCTTTGAGCGGTGTTCAATGAATGTGTTCTTCTGAGTCTTCTGTGATATATTTACTTGAATTTGTTGTTATTTTTTGAGTTACGAGTGCAAATATATCTACACGGTCTGTTCACCTTATTACTCCATTGTTTTTTCATTATCATTATTGGGCTATCTATTTACAGTTACAACATACAGTGGACCCTCTACTTACGGAATTAATCCGTATTGGAACGGTGACTGCAGGTCGAAAAGTCTGTAGGTCGAGTCTCCATTGACCTACAATGCATTAAAAACCAATTAATCCCGTAACTGTCCGTTTGTGTTCCATTTTTGTTCCATTTTGTTGCTGTTTTTTCTGGTCTGTAGGTCGATTCTCAGGCTGCAAGTCGAACCTAAATTTTGCAGCCAGAGAAATCTGTAACTCGAGAAGTCTGTAACTCGAGAAGTCTGTAAGTCGAGCCGTCTGTAAGTCGAGGGTCAGCTGTATAAATTAGAAATAACAGCAACCATATTAATTACAAACCTCTTCCTTAGAGGATGTCACGGGAAACGTCTTTTTAAAAAATCTTGTTTTAAGCAATCTCTTCAAGAGAGGAGGGAGGGACGGAGGGGGCCTGATGCAGCTCAACTGAGAGCCCATCCCAAAGGGCTGGTGCCACCACCGAGAAGACACAATTTCGGGTCGGTGTCTTTCTCGCTTCCCTCAGCGTGGCAATCCCTGGGAGTATTGCCTGAAAAGATCTGGTGATGCAGGTAGAGGTTCACTCCCAACAAGTCGCAAGGGCCCAAATTATGAAGGGCTTTGTAGGCAAGAGCCAAAACCTTGAATCTGGCCCAGAACGTAACAGGTTGCCAGTGCAGCTGAACCAAGACTGGAGAAATGTGGTCAGATTTGCTCACACCCAACACCAAAGCAAAAAGAAATAGAAAAAGTCTGCTGCTTGTATACCGCCCCATAGCGCTTCAAATTAATTACGTAGACTGCACATTGCCCCCTTAGCAAGCTGGGTCCTCCTTTAACTGACCTCGGAAGGATAGAAGGCTGAGTCAACCTTGAGCCGGCTACCTGGGATTGAACCCTGGGTTGTGAGCGCAGTTTTGGCTGCAGTACAGCAGTTCAACTGTTGCTCCACAAGGCTCAACATCAGCCCGGCAGCTGCATTCTGGACCTGCTGAAGCTTCCCGGTCAGCTTCAAGGGAAGCCCCTCATAGAGAGTGTTCCAGCAGTCCATCTTGGAGGTCGCCAGAGCCTGCAGCCGATGTACGTAGGGCTGCCTTGTCTCAACGTAGGAGCAGAGCTGAATGATTAGCCTCAGTTGGCTGAAGGCCAGCCTGCACACAGCTGCAATCTGGGAATCCCATGAAAGAGCCAAGTCCATGCACATATTCCGAACTAGGTCCCTAAGAGGAAGGGTTACACCATCCAATTTAGGGAGACAGTCCTTCAACCTCTCAGAAGGACCTCTCTCCCAGAAGAAGGATCTCAATCTTATCTGGGTTCAGTGTGTTAGCCTCCGCCATTCCAGAACCAAGGCAGGGCAGTGCTCAAGTGGACAGGATCCACTGCCAAGGCAATAGAGGAGAGACGGAGTGGTCAACGTACGGATGGCAATGCACCCCAAAACTCCAGATGACCTCCACACTCTCATCGTTGCTTTAGATTACATTTCAGTTGGCAGTCCAGTCAGCTGCCGTTTCTGGAATCATTGTGAGGCCCATAATCTCTGGCACCAAAGTGTCTTGGATCAGCCACACCTGCGAGCTTTCGAAAAACAATCCTTTCCTCTATTTCTCCCCTCCTCCCTTCTTGTTTGCCTTCATCTCCTCAGCTTCCCTCAGTCCTTCTTCTTCTGCCCCACCTCTGTCCTCCTGCCTCACTTCCAGGCAACTGCTGAATGCATGGCTAATGATCTCAAGGAGAAATTGTTTCCTCGTGCTTTGTGAAGAGACCGGCTGCTGTTGCAAGACAACGCCGGCCCGACGCATGACTCCTCTTGTCACTCTCTGTTCCACGAGGTCTCCACTTGGTTCCTTATCTCTACATGCTGGCTGCTTGGAGGATGGCCCTTATTTTCAGGCAGCCAAGAACAGCTACTTCGTAAACAGTTAGTTATCATTTTCTGTTTGGTTGTTGTTGTGTGCTTTCAAGTCACCTCCAACTTACTGTGAAATGAGCGATCTCCAAAATGTCCTCTCCTCAACAGCTCTCCTTAACTTTTGCAAACTCAACCTTGTGACTTCCTTTGGGGACTCAATCCATCTCGTATTTGATCTTCCTCTTTTCCTGCTGCCTTCCACCTTTCCCAGCATTGTTGTCTTTTCCAAAGAAGCCTGCCTTCTTATGATGTCAGTGGCGCATTTGGAAATTGGCACAAACTGGAAGGGAACTTGTCATTTATTTTTACATGTTTGGAGAAACAGAATGTGGCATATTGCCCTAATGGGAAAATTAAGAAACCAGTTCAAATTACTTAAGTAATCTTATTCCCAAAATGTTTTTTTCAATATATGGTTTTTCCTTCCATCCTCCATTTTCTCCTTCCTTCCTTCCTTCCTTCTATATACCACCCCATTATTGCATGCATTACTCTAAGCGGTTTACAAGTTGAAATACAAAACAAAAAAGGAAGAATGCATGCTAATGCTGATTTATT